ATCTGCATGTCTGTATTCCGCCCTGCACCCAGGTACATGCGTCTGTCGTCTGTCTTTAAATGTTCATCATGTCATATGGCAAGACGTGAGACCTTGGCTCACTGACAAAGTCTTTTTTCACTGCCCAAATGAACCCGGGGTTGTGCAGCAACAAGTTAACAATGAACTATAAACTGGAAATAATCATCCCATTCCAGGTTTAGTCCCAAGTTAAAACACTCAAATGGCGGATCTTTCCAATTTTAATCAAGCGAACCACTGTATAAAATTGTAATTGTAAGCTGCCTTTGACTGGAATCGCCTACGACAACAAATAGAGGGGATTTGGCAAAAAGTACTACAGCATATAATGAAGGTAAGAACTCTTGTCAGCAGAGACCGTAATCATCCGTTTCGCCTTCGTTACCAACCTTAAGCACGTCCGACCACTTCCCCTCCCCCTCCCCCTTAAATACTTCCCGTATTTTCCGCATCAGGAGACGCACTGTCAATGGATGGTTTGTTTTCGAACGCTTTTCTTATGCAAAGCGCACCGGAATATAAAATGCATGAAAGGAAACAAAACAGACCGATAAACTTCAGTTTCGAGTCCGCGTCATAAGCGTGTCCCTTGGAAGGTGCCATTTGAGGTTCATACACACATTGTAATATTATGGTAAAGCACAGGATATATTACCCCCTCCCCCGACGCTTCTGACTACGGATTAATGCAGCCCCGTGTACCACAAAAAAATCACTTCCAGATCAGTAACCAGGGTGACTTGATATATAAAGCGCTACGGGTTATAAGGCGCGCTGTCGTTTTTGAGAGGATTAGATGCTTTTGACTGCGCCTTATAGTCCGGAAAGTACGATAGTACTCGTGATCATACTCATTGCCGCAGTCGGACTCACTATAATGAGCTTGACTTGTGTTGTCACCTGTTTCTTATCTTCCCTTTCTCACTGAAGCTCATCGCATTCTGTTTTTTTTCCCTGTCAGAGATGCTGGCATGTTCTCTCAGTCCGAAGCTCTCTATCATTGGGCAACAAAGGCTTTCCTGCGATACTCCTGGCCCGAACTGGCCACTTACACTCTCCTGCAGGAGGCCTTCTGTCAACAGGTCCAGTGGCGCACTGAACGTACACAGGACGTTTCAGTTTTCAGAAGGTAGTCAATTTCAGTGCAGATTACCTCATTCGAATTCGTTATTCCACTTGTTAATGCCATCTTTCAAAAATGTAGTTTACATGTTCCATGAGGTTAGCAAATTCACTCTCATATGGTATCTCTTTACCTGTTTCATGAGGGCGGGGGGGGGCCCTGCTCGTCGAGTGTACAAATACGGGAATCCTAACGCAAGCTAGCCGCACTGTTGATATTATCCTTTCTACAACCCCGTTCCCTCCTTTTAAGAAGTAGATGCGATAGCTGTAGCAAGAACTTTATTCAGATTTATGTTCAAAATCATCATTAGAGACGTGTACTTCATGCACCAGGAATGGCAGTATTTATAGGATGCAGTCGTTATGCTACTGTGTGCCAATGACAATTAAGAGCTCTCCCTTCCTTGAGCATGATTGCCCTCTCCTGCGCTAATTGCTCGATAGCCGGCCTTTGCGTCTATAGTCTCGGCAATGTCATCTGCCGTGTAGGATGTTGGCGTGATGAGGGCCGGACCATCTGGCTTACCTGCACTGGCATTGGAAACAGTGTTTGCTTGCGCTCTCCCGGGTGGCTAAGGACTTTAGCCAAACTAATTCTCAATGCAGAATATGAGGTGAACAGGTCATTGCACTTTACAATATACTGGAGTCACGTGAACCATGACTTAAACGGGTCGCAGTTCACACGAGTTACCTCGCGAGAATTTTGGCTTTGTCGAACCTGAATGTGTTGCCAAATTCCATTCTATGAACCGCAACTCAAAAGTTGACGTCATTTATTTGGACTGCTGCTGTGTGTTCAGCCCCTCGCGTTCGTAGCAGTCTTTCAGTTTCTCTGAAACAGTTGCTTGCACTACAACTCCAAGTGGCACGCAAAGGCGGCTGACGGTCCCCGAGACATTCTTGATGTATAAAAACGCTCACCGAGGTTTGGCGTCGGTGTGATTAAGTCTCTCGTCTGGTTTGTGTATGCATTGGTTGACGAAGTTCCGCAGGTAGCCAGTTCCTATGAATAGTCTCCGAAAATACTAAATTTCGGTGCATTTGTCTTCGCTTCACTACGGCGATCTTACGCAACCGCGTTTGTGTCTGCGTGGATGATTACTCTTACTGGAGCGGTTGCGGTTGCGGCCGTGCCAGCCGCATGTGCTCGACCCAGCCTCTGGTTTTCTGGACGCCGGGCACAGGTTGCTGAAGAAAGAATGAATGCGCAGAGTCTGTACAAGTCTTCTACCACTTAAAACTAATTCACGCGCAAGTCACCGTCCCCGCAACACCCTTTTGTAGAGCCTACGGTGGACATAATCAAAATCTACGATCGATCTGTCGGTTACTGTTGAAGTTCAGTACCTGTGTCGTATTTTTCGCTTTCCTGAACAAGTTGGTCTTTAGGCCGCCGTAATCTTTGCGGCAGACGATGACATTAAGAAAAGCCAGTTGTTTGGTTTCTTCCTCTTCCATCATGGATTAAATGTCGAGGAAGACGACTTTTAGACGTTCTTTGAAGGTCAGCACTTGATCCCGTTCGATGGCAACGAAGGTATCACTTCCGCATTAGCCCCGAATTTCGGTCTTGTATTGATTATCCAGCCAAAATCCGTTGCAAAATCGCATTGACAAAGAGTCCCGAACTGGACGAATTCATTTGTGTACATCTTACTTGCTCTCAAATTATTCCGTTAAACGTGAATTTCGTCCTGTGGCAGAACATCCGAAGTTTACGGACTTGGAAATTTCCCGGGGGCTTCCCCGTTTCATCGTACTTTTGGTTTGTTTAGTAGTTCGATGTTCATGATCGACCTGTGTTAGAAAATAGAAATAAAAAGGGACGTGACATAAAAAGCTTCCATGAACTCATGTGATAGGACCTTGAAACTTCTCCAA